CGCTGCGCTGCGCTGCGCTGCGCTGGGCTGGGCTGGGCGGGCGGGGGGTGGGATCGCGACGCCCCCTCCCCTGCCCAGCTGAGGCCGGGCACACTGCTTGCGTGCCCCGACTCCCTGCCGGGCTCCTGGGTGCCCCCCGTGCCCGACCCCGCACCCTGGGTGGGCATCGCTGCCCTGCCCGCAGCCGGGGTCCCCTGGAGCACCCCACAAGGTTTGCAGCCCCGTTAAAAGGGGAACGCGGCTTTCCACCGGGGCTGCCGGGACCCCCCGGGGCGGCATTGCTCCCCTTCCCATAACCAAGGGGGCTGCGGGCAGCCACACGGTCCCCTGTGCACCCCCAGAAGCTCCACAACCCGTTTAAAGGGGGACTGCCGGGGCTACCGAGTCCCCCAGGATGCTCACTTGCTTCCCCTGTACCCAGGGGGGCTACAGGTAGCGACAGGGTCCCCTGGAGCACGCAGCGAGCACCCCCACAAGGTTTGCAGCCCAGTTAAGAGGGAAGCACGGGCATCCACCAGGGCTGCTGAGTCCCTGGGAGCTGAAGCCGGGCGCCTGCGGGGGCTGTGGCTGGGTGCCAGGGCTGTGGGTAGCAACAGGGTCCCTTCAGCAGCACCGTTTCCTATTGCTCGCGGACCCCCCGCCTCCCAGGATCCCCCCAGTGCAGCCAGCTCGCACGTCCTCTGCAGACCCAGCGCTCCCTCCTCCCAGCCCCACCACCGAGCAATGCCAGAGTCCTTTGCAAGGGGTGCCCCTGCCCCACCTGGTGCAAGGGATGCCCAGGGGCTCTCAACAGGGGCCCCGGGAGGTAGCAGGGGTGCAGGCAGGGCTCTACCAGCTGGGCAAGAGGAAGGCCTGCAGCCAGGCCCTCAATGCCCCCACCCCCCCGCCAGCTACCCCAGGGACCTGGGGCTGAGCCCCTCCTGGTGCCCCGGGCAAGGACCTGCCTGGAAGATGGCAGGAGGAGGGGAGGAAAGGGAGCATCCCAGAGGGATGGGCGGGAGGTGTGCAAATGTGACTCACATAGCAAAATCCTCAGGCCGGTAACCTAGCAACACAGAGGCTGCCTGCGCCTGCATCTGGGGCTCCTGGCATCGGGTAGTGCCACCCTGCAGCCTCCCGGGGGCACATCTCTGGGGGCCCCTCGCCTGCAACCCAAGCCCCTGGATCAGCCCCTAGCCCAGCATCCCCTCCTGCAGCTAGGAACGGAGCCGGGGCGTCCTCAATCCCAGGTCTCCCCAAATCTAGCCACTGCGCGACCCCCCCCGCCGCGCACACACGGCTCCAAAGGGGGGTGGGTGCAACCGCTAAATGAGACCCTGCCATCACGAGACCTGAACACGGCCCCTCAGCTCCGGGATCCCACCCGGAGGGTGCCAAGGGAGCCCGGCCCCTGTGCCGCCACCCAAGGGTGGGCAGGAGCCTTCCCTCCCTGCTCCTGTCCCAGTGCAGCCGAGCCTCCTCCCAGGCAGGTGCTTGGTGTGCCACGCAACCCAGCTGGCAATGCCTGTGCCCACCTGCGAGCCATTCCTAGCCCTCCGCGTGGCCTGCTAGCAGCTGGCTGGGCAGGGTCGCCCTCCGTCCACCGGCACTCGTCCGGGGGCACCGGAGCCAGGGAGAGGATGCACCCGCCGATCCCCAGGCTGCGTTTCCCGTTGGATGCGTTGCAGTTTTGCCCCATTTTGTGCCCCAGACGCGCTCGCAAGGGCTCTGCGGCATCTGAATCGGGGCCCGGCTTGGGTTCCCATCCAGAATCCAAGCGGATCATGACCTGCCTTCAGGTCGCTCAGCCTGACGCCACTCCTAAACCCGGGCTTGGAGGCCGGACCCCCGTGCAACCCCCCTGCCCGTGCCTCTTGGCACAGATGCAGGCAGAGGTGGCGGTTAATGCCAGCCTGTCACCGCTGCTGCGTTTGGAAGTGGCAGGGGAGCAGCCCACTGCCTCCGAGTCCTGTATTAAAGATGAAAGATCCTTATTCTTCATCCCCCAGTGCCTCTTTGCCAGCCGCTCTGCTGCTGGGGGCGGCGGGGAGAAGACGGCTTTCCACCCAAACTCTTGTGGGGAGGAAAAATAATGAAGGTTTCTAATCAACCTTTTTGGGGTAAAGCATCTCTTTTCCCCCATTGTTTTTTCATCCAACAGCTCCATCCGAAGACGCTGCTGCCCGTCGGAAACTCTCGGCGAGTGCGAAGGCCCCGCGGCGCAGGCAACACGACCGGCGACACCATTTCCCTTCCCGCGCTGCTCTGCGGAGAGTGGCAACGCGCACTGTTCCCCGCTGGGCTCCACCGTACCTGGCCTCATTATTGTCTTGGGGCCAGAGCGAATCCTTCCTCCCTCCCCGCAACCCTGTGATTAATGTAAACCAGGAGCCGGGATGAGCGATGGCAAACGAGCTCGGCCTCTCTGGAGGGAAAATGACGGTGGATTTGGATGCGTCGCAGCCTTTTTTGCAGCTCAGGGTGGGAAAAGGCACAGACCAGGAATCATCTGCCCATGGGAAGCCTCCCACGGTGCCTTCAGCTTTTGCCCTGGCTCTCCCAGTGGGGATATCCTGAGTCTGGCCTGTCCCCAGCGCGGACGGGACAATCTGGAGGCCTCGGGCCTGCTGGAAGGAGCAGAAGAGGAGAGGAAATTCCTGGTGCTTGTGTCCTCACCCTGCCTGCACAATGGGCACCTGCAGGGCCAGGCCTTTGTCTCACATATACACTTGCACAGACACAAGTGTACACCCACACACATGCATGCACACAGGCCAGAGTAACCCTGGACACCACCTGGGTTACTCCCGTGTGCCAGTGCTCTCTGTCCTCCTCTCACATGCACCCCCCCCCACCCCGTTCCCTTATGTCCCCTCAGCCTCTGGAGCGTGCGAGTCACGCGCAGGGCAAAACGGACCCAGAGGAGAAGAGCGTGCACCTGAAGACAGCAGGTGCCATTGCAGCAACTGGACTAAATGCCACAGGGGTGTGAAAAAGGAGCCGGCGGGGAGCATGCCCAGGCTGGAAGCAAGCAGGATCCTCCCAGCTTTGCTTGGCTGAGAGCGTGCGGATGACACAAAGCCACCCCGGCCCCGCAAGAGAAGGGGCCGAGGCCTCCCAGGCTGTCCAGACCCTGCTCCCAGGCAGGAAGGGACATGCAGCCCGTGTCCCTGCCCTGCGCAGGGCCACACAAAGCCAGACCGTGGCGGTGGAGAGGGCCAGTACCCAGGCAGCGGTACCCAGGACCAGGCCTCAGAGGCCAGGTCTTACCCTGCACTTCAGGACCGCGCTGTGAGCTGGAGAAATGTCTCGGCGGCCAAGCCGCCGTCTCTCTTCCCATCCCTGGGAGGAAGGGGGGCAGAGCATCCATGGCTGGAAGCCGACCTTGAACCTGGGCTCTGGGCTCCTTCTAGCGGCGGATGCCAGCACAGCGGCGCAGTCGGGCAGGTTCGTCTCCTGGAGCCGTGGTCTTCACCCAGGGCCCTGCTTCTCATGGGGTCCCAACGAGCCGGCACCCCTGCCCTCGGTGCACATCACAGTTGCTGCATCTCCCCCCCTGCTTCTTGTGCAGCGTTGCCTGGCAGGGCCCTGCACGCCTTCCCCCCGCGCCCCATTTATCCTCACAGGCGGGCAGAGGGGCAGCACTAGCCTCCCTTCGTTTTGCTGGTGGGGGTTGCCTTTCCCTCAACCCCTTGGCCTACAAATTAGCCCTGAAGACCTTGCAGCGGGGAGCAGGCGCCCTGCCACGGGCACAGAGGGGCATGCAGTGGCTGCAGATGGAGCTGGCGGGGGTGCCCACAGCAGGGCCGTCGGGCTGGCTTGCACAGCCCAGCTCCAAGCCCGCAGAGGCAGGCGAACCCAAGGACGGACCCACCGAGGTCTTTGGCCCCGCAGGCGGGCAGCTTGCGAAAGAGCCCCAGGGGCACCCCGCAGCTCTGCTCTGTTTGCCCAGAGCCGGGGCAGGAGGTGCGATAAGGGAGGGCGGGCAGAGGTCGTGCACAAACAGCCTCATTGTGCAGTGTTGTTTGGAGAGAAACCGAGTCCAACATCCCCCGGCCAGGTGCTGGGAGAGGCCGTATCCTCCTCCCCCGGCAGTTGGCAGCCAGCACGCCTGACCCGACCCGACTGGACCCGATCAGGGCAGCCAGCAGCTGGCGACAGCTTCCTGCCACCCTCAGGTCTCCTGGAAGTCCCCCCCGTCCACCTGACCCCGGTGCATGGATAAAAGGGAGGGCTCTGCCTCCACTCCCGCTAGAGCCGTTGCCAACCCGGACCTCGAGACCTTGTGGTCAGCATGGCGCGCCCCGCTCCCCTCCTGGCACTGGCTCTGCTGCTGGGCACCTTGCTGTGCGGTGAGTCCCGGGCACCTTCCTGCTTCTCCCCGCACCCATCTCAGACTGCCCCAGGCCGGGGTTGCTTTGGGGGTGAGCCTCTGACAGCGGCTCGGAGCTGACAGCAATGGGGAGCCAGGCTGGGACTGTAACGGGATGGGGAAACTAGACACAGTCCCCCTCTTTCTACCACCCCCAGGCACTTTTCCAAGCATCACTGTGTCTCCATTTGCACAATTCAGCCCTTCCCTCCCCGCAGTGAAAGCAAATGGGTGCCGGTGCTAGAGCGGGGACCCAGGAGCCCTGCTCCTCTGCTGTCGGGCTCATGCGAGCGGCTCAGCATCTGCCTCCCCGCTGCTTTCTCCCTGAGCGGATAAGTGCCCCCCGCCCGGCTCCCAGCTGTGGTTCCTGGCGGCTACCCCTGCCCATGCTGGAAACTGGGTGGCAGGACAGGACGGCAGCCAGGAGCAGGGATGAACTGCAGTGCCTGGCTGTGCCCCCGCCACGAGCACTGACCACCACCCCCAGAGACTTTCGAGGGTCCGATATCTCCGGGCTGGGCCTGGACACATGGAAAGCCGGGCCCGGGGGGCATCTCACTAACCCCTGTTCTCCTCCCAGTTGCGTCCAGGCCCCGGGGCCGCATCCTGGGGGGCTCCAGTGCCGGGCCCCACCAGAGGCCCTACATGGCCTCGCTGCAGGTGGACGGGCACCACGTGTGCGGCGGGTTCCTCATCGCCGAGCAGTGGGTGCTGAGCGCCGCACACTGCATGGAGGACATGTGAGTGCCGGGGTTGCCCCTTCAGTCCCACCAAGGGACCATCGGGCCTCAGGGGTGAGCACAGGGTCCAGGAGGGAGGGTCTCTGGGCTGCACCCGTGGGGGGGTATGAGGGCACCCTCCTCCCAGCCCCGTGCGCTGCAGCCTCCCTCTCTCCGTCTCCGGCAGGAAGGGCAAGACCTTCCAGGTGCTCCTGGGAGCCCACTCGCTCTCGCAGCCGGAGCCGCACAAGCGCTTGTACACGGTGCGCACCACGGTGCGCCACCCTGGCAGCAACACCGAGACCAACGATGACGACCTCCTGCTCCTCCAGGTGAGCGCCGCCCCACTGCCCTCTGCCCACGCCGGACACACCCCAGCGGGTCCCAGGCTCCGCCAGCCCTGCCCCGGCCGTGACCTCTGCCCCTTTGCCTCCCAAAACAGCTGGAGGAGAAGGCGACCCTCAACGAGCACGTGAAGATCCTGCCCTTCCAGCGGCAGGACGTGGATGTCCCGCCCGGGACCATGTGCGAGGCGGCTGGCTGGGGCTTCACCAGCCACAGCGGGCGCAAGCCGGACGTGCTGCAGCAGGTGGAGCGGCCAGTGAAAAGCCGAGAGGAGTGCAACAAGCGGCCCTACCACGACAACACCATCACGGACAAGATGCTGTGCACCGACTCCCGAAAGAAGGACACCTGCAAGGTACCAGGGAGCCGGGGCTCCGGGGGGACGCTACCTCGACCTGTCCTGCTGCAGGGGGCATGTGCAGCCCCACGATCTCCCCTCACCCTCCCCCAAAGACGTGTTCTCCCATCATGGGGGTCTAATGCCCCGTGCCGATTCATACCCAGCCCCGCGCCGATTCCTGCCCGGCCCCACGCATCGCCTCTTTCCAGGCGCACAGAGAGAGGAGATACGTGGCTGGCAGGTTGGCATCCGGTGTGTGTGCAACCCTAAGATGCTTTGTTAGGCCCGCTTTCTAGATAGGGAAACTGAGGCCCGGACCCCAATGGCAGCAGGAGAGCAGAAGCCCAAGCAGGCTCCGTCCCCAGGGCCAGGAATTCTCCCCCCTCTCTGGAGTCTGCACCCGGGCTGTTTTGGACACCGTGCCCCCCAGCTATAAGCCAGCAGCTGGTGCCCCGGCTGTGTCAGCAGTCCCCCCCGGGGTGACACGGCTCCTGCTGAGCTCCCCGTTCAGCCACACGATGCATGGTGAGCCGCCAAAGCGCCATCTGGGCCAGCCGCACCTGTGCCCTGGGGTGCTGCCGGTCCTGCCCCGGCTTTTCCCCCTGTCCCAAATGCATCCCAGTGCACGGAGCCATGCGACTACAGGCCGGACACACCACATCCTAGCGGGGCCGGGCTCGGGCACCCTGTGATCCGCAGGTTTTGAATCGATGGCTCTGTAGGAGCTTGTGCTCCCCCTGCCTCAGTTTCCCCTTGCTGGGTGAAGCTGCAGGCCCCGATTACGGTGATAGTGATGAGCCCAGCCCTCCCACCCTGGGCTAGCTGCAATCACTCGACCCCAGCCACCTCCCCGGGTACTGAGAGGAGATCTTCCAGAGATGGCAGTGCCCCCCACTGCCCTACCTGGCAGCCTCCTAGCCCGCCCCTGGCTTGCTTCCACAGGGGGATTCTGGCGGACCACTCATCTGTAATGGGGTGGCCGAGGGGGTGGTGACCGCCGGCGCCCGGGTCTGCGGGAACTTCAAGAAGCCCGGCATCTACACCCGCATCGCTGCCTACGTCGACTGGATCGACAGCGTCATGGCTGCAGCAGGGGAGGGACCAGCCTCGCCAAGCCCCTAGCACCTGGGGCACACGGTGGCTCGGTGCATGGACCCCCCCCGCCAGGCTTGCCCTCGGTAGCTTTGCTTGCCTAGCGCCCACCTTGCTTCCGCCAGCTCCGGACAGGGAGAGGGGCCTGCAATCAGCCGGACCAATAAAACTACCACGTGCAGAAACCAAGGGCTCGGGTCTCTCCTGTCGGCAAAGAGCAGAGCAATGAGCTCCCGCATGCCCCGCTGCAAGGACGCAGCCGCAAACCCGGGCAAGCCTGCCGGAGGGGAACGGGACCCCGGTCCCCAGGTCTACGCACGGCATGCGCTGGGGAGGGGGAGCATGGCGCCTGCCAGCTACCTCTGTGCCCGTCGCTCAGGGCTGTGCGGCGCTCACAGGCTGGCGCCAAGGAGACGGTTGCCAGGGCCACGGTTACCCCAGGAACTGGGGAGAATGACTCCCCGGGGTCCATCTAGGGAAGCGCTTGGCCCCTCGCTGCCCTGGTAGCGTGGGCGCCGGCTGGGGACGTGGGTTTCCAAGCTGTGCTCTGCCACTGGGTGACCCTATGACCACAGTCATGTCACCGCATCTCTAAAGGCTGTCTTTGCATGGAGCGGGGGGGACTCGCTGCCTGTCTCACGCTAACAGGAGGGCATCAGAGAAGCCCTGTGGGTGCTGCCCCACGGCACGGGCTGTGGCTCTGCAGGGAGGCCCGAGCGGGCCACTGGCCCTGCCTCCTTCGAAACAGAGCCAGCATCGGCACTGAGCACGTGCAAGCCCCCTCGGGAAAAGGGAAGGGTGCCCGCCCATCTCTAATTGGTCGAGACAATCCTGAAATGGGAACACCAAGTCCCAGTCCCAGGCTGCATGATGCTGGGACAGCATTTGTCCCGGATTCCCAGGAAGATGCTGGGATCCGGGTTTTCCTTTTGCTGCAGAGCGACGCAGGAAAGGGTGGGTTTCCCCTGGCAAGCTGGCAGCGTTTCAGCCCTCCAGGGGCTGGGGGAGTGGGACGCAGGGGGACTGCGTGCATGTAGCTGGCAATACAGCCCCGGAGAGAGCATCTCCCCCAACTGCCTGCAGGTAAGTCTATGGGGTGGGGGTGGGGGGGCAGATTTAGGCTATAACCCAGGTCATACAAAGATCAGGACAATCCGTTATCCACCCTGCCTCTGCTTCCAGGGTCAACGAGACCGGAGAGGGGTCAGGAAAGGGAGCATGCATCATCGGAGGGAGGGAAGGAGATGCTGGCACCTGTCCTAGCCAGGACCTCACTTGCACCCCTAGCAAGTCACGGGGATGGCTCCCAACCCGTCCACCCAGCTGTAGAGTTCGACCACACAGGACACGCGGCGTTTCACGGAGCCAGCACAAGAGAGCGCCCTCATCCCTCATTTAAAAGAAGAAATCCTGGCCCTAGGAAGGTCTCCTGGCACCAACAGCTTGTCTAAGTCTATGCCAACTACAGCATAGCAGGAAGAGATCACCCCCCAAAAAACCCTTGCCTCTTGCATCCTTCCCTGGACCATCACGGCATCGCTCTCAGGCCAGGCCTGCTTGTACGCTGTGTGCTGGGGGACGATGGCAGCTCACGAACCCCCAAGGGGGTCTCACCAGGCCAAGACCTAGTGCAGTCTCAGGGGGACTGCTATAAAGGGGGCAGACACGTGCTCGCCCAGCCCAACCCTGCCCAGCTGGGTAGAGCACAGGCTGAATCGCTCTGCCCACTCGGTTTAGGGACGATAGATCCCAGGTTGTGCTTTATGGGAGTCGTTAGTGATGCAAGGAAGCCCGCTGGGGAGGAGAGGGCCATTAGGCTGGGGTCAAAGGTTAGGGCACTGGCTTGAGCCCCACACCTGCCTGCAGCAGACTTGGGCCCATCATTTACTCAGCAAAGCGCTGCTCCTGATGAAGTGCTCCTACTCCGGGACCAATGTGCCATAGGAGCGGTGGGACCAGCTCCGTGGACCCTTGGAGAGGTGGTCACCGGAGAAGGGCCTGGCTGCAATTCAGCGCCGGTGCTCAGCTCAACCCAGGAGGCCCCAGGGGCCGAGTCTCACACACCGGATGGCAGTAAGAAAATGAAATGAGTTTGCAATGGATTGCCATGTCACACTAGAAGATAAAAAACTTTTGGGAGAAGCTGCGGTTCCCTAGTTAGCCATTTCGTTTCCCTTAATTATACTACAAGCAACACCCAGGCACTGACAAGCCAGTGCTGAACGGAGGAGTGAGGGGGCCGGGTGCTCTGCAAGCACTTTGAATTTTAAATAAAAGTGGCTTCCCAGGAGGAGGGGGAAGGAAAAAAAATCTTGTTCATTTTGTGAAACAAGGCCTGGAGAGAGCAGGGCTAGCGAGCTGGGTCAGCCAAGGGGCCCGATTCTGAAAGGGCCTGAACATCACAAGGTCACCAGGTATTCAGGTACCCCAGACCCCCTCCTTGTGTCCCAGCCAGCCCATCTCCCCCCAACCCAGCCCCAGAGAGGCCCGCTAGGACACAGCTGTGGCTCATGCCCTCATTAAACTCCTTAGCTCCTAGCCCAGGTGAAACAGCTTTGCTGCGATTCGCCCCCCAGCCATGGGAGGAGGATGGCTAACGACCAATTTAAAGCAGGAGTCAGGACTCTCAGCTCCCAGTAGCTTCACGCACAACAAAGATTTCCCTTCTGCGATAATCAGCGGCTGTAAGGAAGAGAGTGCAGGGCCTTCTGCTCTCTGTCTTGCAGGTACCACTGGCCAATGTACAGCCATGGGCAGGGCAATTCAAATGGTCGTGGGGCTGGAGGCAATGTCCACGGGCAATCAGGTATGGGAGTGTGGGCCTCTGCATTCCCAGGACATTCAGGCTTTTGATTCAGGCCCCTTGTGCGTAGCCCATAACAGCAGCTGGGGTATAACTAGGCCAGCACCAACCCACAGGGGAGGGCCAGAGTTTTCCTGCCCCCCTGCCTGAACTCTCCTGCTAGCATATGCAGTGATGCCAAGTCATGTTGGGGGGGGGGGGAAATCATGAGACCCCTGATTTCCAAGTCAAATGAACTCTGACTTCTGACAGAGAGATCAGATCTCGGGGTTTTGTCTTCTGGTGTGTGTGGAGTGCCAAGCTGATTTAAGGGAAGGGGTAAGGGAGGCAGATCAAGGCCCCCCCACAGTGAAGGAGGGAGTGGGGCAGGGTGAATGGAGGTATGGGGGGCATGTGCCCCCCCCCCAAATCTGTGAGTGGGGCAGGGGTGGGCTGCCCACTGTGGGCTGGGGCTCTGCGCCCTGCTGCCTTTGCCCTGGGAACCACACGCCTGCTTCAAAAGTAGCATCTCATGATTTGGGTCCTAAATTTCTTGACTTTTATTTATTTATGTATTTATAAGCTGGTCTCGTGATTTTTGACCCAGTGGGGATGGCGATACTGCACACATCTGCCTCAGCTTTCTAGGCAACGTTATGTGACTAAGGGGGTGGGAGGTTTTTGCACTCCAGGCCAATGCAGCTGTGCTGGTTAAGCTGCGTGGACCTGGTTTAATGCTGCTTACTAAGGTCCTCAGCAGCAGAGACCAGGGAATCATGGCAGCGCCTCGGAGCCGGCAGCTATGGAAAGCCTCGATGGTTATTTCTGTAGTGACAAGGCCGGGTGATTGCCCAGAAAATGTCACTTCTGCCCACTTGAAGGCTTTTAGGGTGTCACTGAGAGCATCAGATCCGATGCCTAGGCAAATCTGCAGCTGGGAAGGTTGAGTGAGACCTTAGCTCCCTTACATCACGATGCACACCATGGTTTCAGATTCACATGGCCCCAGCAGTCCTGCAGACTGAAAACCAAGCAGGAGATGCCTTCTTCCCTCCACAGGAAGCCTGCCCAGTCTCAAGCATGGTTGCATTCACCTGCATACATGGAGGGTAAGGGAGACGCATGTTTCCTGCTGCAGCCCCATTGCCAAGGGACCCAAAAGATTCTCCTCCTAGTGAAGAACCCTCTTTACACCCTAACCTGCAATAAAAGCCAGCGGAGCAGCCTGAACAGAAAGAAGTAGCCTCCAAAGGACCAGCCGCCTGCACTGCAAAAACCCCAGGGCAATGCTGTGCAACAGATGCTACAATCCAGACATAATTAATGTGCGACTGTGGGTGATGGAGTGCATGAAGGGAAACAGCAGGGGAATGCTATCGAACAAGGGCAACAGTCTGGCCCACTTGTAGCCTGCTTTCCCCCTGCCCCCCCAATTAAGATGAAACTATGCGCACGCGACCTTGGGGTGGCGGGTATTGGCACAGAGAGGCAGGGAGGGCAGAGCAGACTGCATACTACAGCTGCTGCTCTTGCCGGGGCTTGTAATACCCAGCAGAAGCTGGGAAACATTTATTCCCCTTTGGATATCAGCAATGATTTTGCCTTTTTGGAACCAAGCATGAAAGACTGCAGCTTTCCAGCTCTGCTGCCTGCTTGCGTCCTGGGTGGATGGGGTGCAGCAGTTTGCTTCCGTGCTAGGGTTGGCAGGAGATTATGAGAGTCGTTACTGAGACAGGCCTCCCAGTGATATCAAACACTGGCAAATGGGCTCCTTTCAGACAGCAGCTGCCAGGAGTTAATTAAATCAGTGGTTGCTGTACCCACGGGGCATGTCCAGGGTTCATCTCTGCTGTAAGCTTTTGGGGCAGGGACCGGAAGCTGTTTTCTGTATAAAAACAAAATCATTCTTAAGACCCAGAAGAGAGCCTTAAAATCCTCATCTCCAGGATAACTCAGGCCCCCAAACCTTCATCCAGTTTCCCCCTATCTGGAGCTCCACAGCTTGTTCATCAATAGCTTATCTTCCCAGGCAGACATATAAATGCTGATTGCAAGATACCAGGAGATGGAAAATCCATCCCAGCCTCAGCCATCTGTTCCGATAATAAATCGTCCTCCCTGATAAAAACGCATCTAATTTGAGTCTGTCTGGCTTGAAGTGCTAACCCTGCACTTTCATTAGATTTCTTTTTCTGTGACCCTGGAGCCTTTTAAGGCCTGCCCTTCTCACCTCCATGAAATCAAGCCAATTAAGAGAAGGAAACAAGGGCTCACAAGCTTTTGCAAAGACGTTTACTGAGGCTTTTGGTACAAAACTTAAGAGAAGCTATGTACAAAGGAGCTGCTGGTTCCACGGTGGCTGGCTTCCCATGCTGTCTGATACCTTGTCTGGTCTTGATGGCAGCAAAAAACCTTCTGGCAAGACTGCTTGTCCCATTCAAAATCCTCACTTCCTTTCATCTTGGAGCACAGAAGTGGGGGAAAGTAAAATCAATTCAAGGAAAACAAAGGGGGGGGGGGCCTAAAAGCTGCATCTCATCTCTTTGGCTGATAACAAAGGGCAATGCATGCAATCTCCGGGTTCCAGAGATCTCTTCCAGCCCCAGCCCTGAGAAGTTTTTGAGCCTGCTCTTGGCTGCCTTTCCCCTTCTGAGTGTATGCTGCTCCCTTGCAGGAGGTGGTGTCAGAAATAGCTGAGGGGCATCCGCCTCCACAGCCCCCCGCACAGACAGTTTTTGATCCATCGTTGTTCCCACTGTTTCACTGCTGTGGTTTTGTTGGGTGATTTCAGCATGGTCACGCAGCCGCACCTCGGGGAGAGATGAACAGATGAAGGGTCAGTTAATCTGGCACAGATAATTCGGGGTGCAAGTCAGCATGACTGGAGCTCTCTTACAGGCAGAGCGCCAGGAGGGAAGCAACTTTTTGTCTTATTTGGCTTTGATTTCTCTGTCTTGCCTGCATGGAGCTGTGTGGAAGCAACACTGACTGGGGGAGGGAGCAGAAGGGAACAGCTCCCAGTGACTGCCCATATGAAAAGCAGCATATGCGAATGATCTGGTATGGAGGCTTTCTGTTGAGGCCCACAGTTAAGACTGATCCAATCACGCGATCAGATAGAGGGTTGGCACCTGTCACATATGCTAGGCTGATTTTTAGGAATGGGAGAGAGGTGGCTACAGCACAGGAGGGCTTCAAACATACAGGCCCCTCTCTGAAAAGAAATGCTGACAATGGGGTTCTGCTGTGAACCCCTCTCCTCAGCTCCAGGGGAAGTGTGCAGGACAGGTTTTCTAACCAGCAGGTCTGTGAAGCCAGCCGGGGATCTTCCCTTTCATGCACAATTGCCGCTAATAAAGTGTCTAAATTTTGCCCTGTTATATCAGTGCAACACACCCTGCTGCTCTTAAGGCAATATCCTGCAGGTGGAACTGAGAGCAGAGCTCAGTCTTGCAAATCATATGGTTAAACTGCTGACAGGCAGGATAAAAGTCTCTTGAGGGCTGGGCTGGCTTTGCGGCCACCAGCAAGCTGCTAAAGACAGGCAAGAGTGTGAGGACATCCCCAGAGCAGGCATGTGGAATAAGGCTGGGGCCATGCTATAAGCACACAAAGGATTTAAGGTGACCAGGGTAGAGCAGCTTAGGACAGGTGGAGGGAAGAGCGTAACAATGATGGATGCAGCCCACTTCTAATGCAAGGGGATTTAATATAAGCCAAGAGCCAGGTCTGACAGGGAGCGTTCCCTCATTCAGAGTCATTAATGTGGAATGAACTATGGAGGGAAGGACAGATAAGAACTCAGACCTGTCGCTGTAAAAGCTGGTACCGCTTTGAAGCAAGGATGGAGTAAAAGCCAGCTGTGAACCCCAGCTTTCCCATCTGGAACGGGCTGAGTCTGCATCGCTTACCGGGTGCAGGACTTGCACTCCTCGGTGGGATATGCCCCCAAGTGCAGCCGGCGCAGGTGGTCGATTTTGGGTTGCCCTGGTGCCCTGGGTAGGAGAAAGGGGTTTCAGACTCCAGCTGCCAGGGCTGATGCATTGCATGCACAGCATGAGGGGCCCTCTGACAGAAAAAGTAAACTGGCTGGAGGGGTTATCCATTAAGATCCACTGTATTACAGTCCCACAATGTTTTGTTTTGTTTTTCTTACCTTCCTGTTGCAAGGGAGCCCCTGTTGCCTGGAAAGAGGGTACCTGGTACCTAACAGCCTGGCAAATCTCAGCCTTCAGCCTACATAAATTTCCCTATAGTTTCAACCCAATACAGCATTGCTCCCTCCTAATTCTTGTCTAAAGCCTGGTATGTTGAGTTTGCCACAGAATGCCTGCCACGTTCCACCCCAAAAGCAGCTGCACGTCAGCACCAGATGTCATAGTCCCCACCCATGCAGCTTACAAGAGTGCAGCCAAAGTATACAGAAAGAGATTGCAACAAATATAGGACATTTTTTTTCCTCCCTTCTCCCACAAAGTGAGGGTGGAAGGGGCCTCAGGAGGTCCCATCTAGTCCAACCCCCCTGCTCAAAGCAGGACCAGCCCCAACTACATCATCCCAGCCAGGGCTTTGTCTACCCGGGTCTTAAAAACTTCCAAGGATGGAGACTCCACCAGCTCTCTGAGTAACCTGTTCCCATGCTCTACTACCTTTCTAGTGAGAACATTTTTCTGAATATCCAACCTAAACTTCCCTTGCTGCAGCTTGAGCCCACTGCTCCTTGTCCTGTCATCTGCCACCACTGAGAACAGTCCAGCTCCATCCTCTTTGCAGCCTCCTGCAGGGAGGTGAAGGCTGCTATTCAATCCCCCTCAGTCTTCTCTTCTCCACACTAAATGAGCCCAGTTCCCTCAGCCTCTCAGGCCTTTCAGGCTTTGAATTCCCACCTCAGACTCCTCAGCAGCTATGAACAGCAGGTAAAGGATTTGTATCATCTTTAGAGAAAATGAAGCACAGAGAAAGCAAGTGGCAGCTCTAAGAGAGCAAGTCTGTGGCACAGCTGGGGGCTAACAAGGGGTCCTAATTTAATCCCAGTACTAACTGGATAGGCATCTGGCTGGGGTTAGCTGACCCCAGCACTCTTTCTGCCTAGGCAGGGGGTCAGACTCGATGATCTGTTGAGGTCCCTTCCGACCCGAGCATCTATGAATCTGCAAGGTCCTGCCACCCAGCCAGGACTGGAAACAGAACCCAGAGGTCCTAGCTCAAGGCACCTGATGGTCCAAGCAGCTACTCCCAGAGCCGGGAGCAAAGCCCAGAGAGCGCCTGGCTCCGTGCTGGTTATGTCTGTACCTGACAAAGGCATCGAACTGTGAAGACACTGTGTAGCCGATGAGCCCGGGGGCTTTCCCAAACTGCAGCCTGACCAGCTGCTTGTTCTGCAGCTTGCTGATGATGCCGTCATTGATGGGCAGCCAGTCAATATTAGGGATGAGCAACTGGCTGGGAAGCAGGCAACACTCATCAATCAAGGTATCGTCCGGCTCGGTTGGGTGATTTTCATCACGGCCTACGCAGAGGACAAAGCAGAGAGAACCTGCTCCAACCCACTCCTTGCTTAATGGAGAAAGCAAGCTGCTGCCTGTGTTTTCCCTGCTTCCCTATCTGACAACAAAGCTCAGGAAACTCTGCTTTGCGGCCTCGCTGTCCCTTTCTAATTGCTCTTGGGCCACCTAGCATTGTTTCCGCCAGCTGGTTTTTGTTTGTGCACCATCATAGAAGTCAGAGGAGCAGGGCTGGAAGGGACCTGCAGAGGTCACATCTGGCTTCAGGCAGCGGGTTGGATTAGATTGTCCCTGTCCAATACACGCATCCATCATCTAAACTCTTCATAAAACTGCCGTCAACCCTGATGCAGCACAAGACATCACGCCCAAACCTGCCACAGGTGAAGCAGGGCGACCACACCAGCTAACAGCCTGCTCCTATAACAGGTTGTTAACATAAGCTCAAAAGATCCACTATAGAGGAAGGCAAAAAACACCTGCCTGTACCAATTTGACATGGCAGTAAAATTCCTTCCTGACCCCAAATGTGGCGATCAGTCTGACCGTGAGCAGAGGGGCAAGAGCCTCTTGCCATGAACCTCAGGCTTTGGTCCAAACAGAAGCATAGGCACAGCCCAGCCAAGATCCCCAGCCTGGGCTGCAGCCAACACCCAATGCCTCTAGGGAAAGTTTAAAAACACTGTGACATGTGTAGCAGAAAGGGCAGAGGAGCAACCAGCAAAGCCCAGAAGCTTGGGAAACCCCCAAAGGAGAACATAGACATCACTGCACACAGATCATCCCTGAGAAGTAGCTGTCTAGCCTCCTACTGAAGACTTCTCCAGTAATGAAGAGTCTCCACCTTCCCTAGGAATCTATTGCACTGCCTCGCAGTCTTAATAATGAAGAGAGAGCATCCCCTGCTCTCCAAGGGGAAGGGTGAGATTCTGGGAAGCTTGAAGCCCTTACAGCAGAGCCAGAGCTTGGTCAGCAGCCTGAAGAGGAGGGACATGCTGTCTTGGGTGTCCGAGGTTGCTGTGTAGACAGGGAGGCAGCTTGGCTTCAGCAGGCCCCAGATGCGGATCACCACCATGAGCTCTCGGAGCATACCCAATGCTGCGCCATCCCGCAGAAAGCTGTGCCCTGGGCGCACCGGGGAGCCCTGCAGGGGGGGGCAGGAGAAAGGAAATGCTTTATGTTCAGGGCTGCCAGATACTGCAGCCCTAGCCTCTACCCCTGGGGGAGTGATCTAAGGTCCCCCAGAGCCCTATGATCATCTGCTGCTCTCTTCTGCAGTATCAGTGAGGTTAGTACAGTGTCACAGGCACTGGGCAGGCCCAGGGAGCCCTGACTCCAATCTCACTATGTGCTGGTTTCTTCAGACGCTCCTGATTTACACCAAAAACAGCAAGAATAGAAACCAGGAGTAACTCTGAAGTCACTGAAGAAACCAGCATTTAGCAAGACTGGAACCAGGCTGGGAAGAACGCTGCGAAGGGTTAGTCGTTGCTCTGAGCTATTCATACGCCCTCCATTTCCTTCCACTCATTGCCAGACGGAGAACTACACTGGAAAAAAGATCTGGCTGGGAAGCTATTGAAGACCCCAGCACAGCTGTGAGGTACTGATCATGTCATCCTACCATG